TGACATGGCTGGAAAGAATGGTCTCTAGTGAAGTCCCGCAAGCTATTTCACCTGTACTTGGGCCCTTATAATATACGCACATGTTTATATTTTTCTTTGATACAAAAATAAAATGTGTTAGCTGTGTAAAAACAGGTGTTTAAAGCAAGTGCGCTCCCCGTGACAAGAGAAAATGTCTTATTCTCCCTCCTGCAAACAAGCTTTAGCTACCCCAGTTTCATTTTATGATTAAAACTATGCACAAGGCCATGCTACATGAGAATAGACTGGTTAGTTCTGCCTGCCATATTACCGAGAGCAGAAATCCACCAAAATAACGCCAAAAAGCGGCCGATCTGTTGTACCTCTCCCGAGCGAACTAAGCATAGAGACACGAAGAGAAAGGTACCATCGTGATCTCTGGTATTTTCTTTATGCGATTAAGCTACTTAGAACCAGCTACATCACAGTATATTATTAATACGGCTAATCAAACATAACAATTCTTCATGATTTTCACCATTTTGATGTAAATTCATGCAATTTCATGCATTAATAATCACACAGTCTGTACACATGACGTCATCAGTTTCCAATCCCGGTTACGTAGTCTATAATATCTATGATTCTAGTAACGCCCGTCTGTCATTACCCGAGCCCACGCGTAGGCGTGGAAGCGAGGGTAAAGCAGTCGTCCTGTCTGTGTGTGTGTGTGTGTGTGTTCGCTTGGCCTCCACTTTTGAGCTGACACTGCTTTCTTGTCTAGTCCTGGAGAGTCTTATAATCAACACTGTCTCTAGAAAAAGTTATTCTCCGTCTTGGGAATGCTATATTTTTCTTTTCTGTGGAAAAAGAAGCTGGCAAAGTCGCCAAACGTAGGCCAGTTCCCCGACAACTTTTTCATAGTGTGAGCAAAAGCAACTGGGCAGATAAAACAATAAAGCAAAGCCTCATCTTTCATTAATATAAGAGGAATTGCTCTAATCATTTTCGTTTTAAAGATATGGTAGCCCAAAAAGTCATACTTTTGTGAGTTTACACGAGGCTCTCTTCTCCCGAAGTAGCGGCCAGAGTCTTTAAACATCAGGGGCTCAATAGACGTTTGTATGCAACAAATAGAGCCTAACAAATGTATGCTAAACTGTTTAAAAGTCAAGAAAAACTAAAGCTTTCTTCACCACTTAGAGCCATGTGCCACCATTACTGTGTGTGCGGGTGGAGCATAGCTTGATTGAGCCACACCTTCATTGCAGCCACACCTTTACATTGCTGCAGCAGTGCAGCAAGCATGCTGGAGCTTCTTCTCTGTCTAAAAGACAAAAAATTCACTGTCTCAAAACATTCACTAAGTTTTTACATGCTGAAGCTTCTTTTCTGTGTCAAAACTTTCCCTAATTATTTTTCTCTTAATTTATTAAAATTGTTACACACAGACTGTGGAGAGGGTATGCACTTTAGTGCTCTCGTTCATTCATTCATTCATTCTGTACAACTGAAATTTGTTTTTAATAAACAATAACTTTAGCACAGCGTGTTCTAAGCTCCTAGATCTTTCTTTTTGACGTGGAAAAGTCTTTCTTAACTGTTTTGTGTTGCTCAAATACAAGTGCTAGGTACAGAAGCTTCAAAGTAAGAAAATCGAGTACTTGGGCCAAGTTCCGTTGTGTTGGCACTTTAGAGATAGCTGGTAGCATTTTTCAGTAGATTAGAACATGGCCTTCAAAAATTATGAACAGATTTCTCTAAATCTTACTTGAAGAAGAGTTATACTTACTTGAAATTGTTGAGGTCACTCGTTTGTGCAGCGCTAGAGCAACAACTTGCTGGGTTATAGGTACTAAAGTACCTATATTATCTCAAATATACAAAGGCAGCAACTTTTTTTGTCAGCAAGTTTATCATATATTGCTGATTAGTAAAGAAAAAGTGAAGCTTCTTTCTCACATGGTCTTCTTGCTGCCACTCATTCCAGTCATGGAATGCCACACCTTTCAATCTACATGCATGGGAGGGGCTGGAGCTGCTTGCATGTATGTGCTGCAGTGCTGCTACTTCTGCAGGTATTCAAGAGCAAGTGCAACTGTAGGAAGCTAGTATTGAGCAGACTCTCTTCATGCTGATAATCAAACAGTTATTGAAGTGCGGGCATGCACCATAGCAGCTATAGGGGCGAGGCCATGCACTGTAGGTGTCTCGTAATACAGGAACATGTACAAGATCACCATTATGTGTTTACATGAATGTATTCGCTAACTATGTGATACCTCTGGACTGCATGGGAAAAGTGAGTGTCAGTCATAATAAATGATGCAGGGGCATCAATATAAGGGCCTCAAGGGAGCACTGACACTCATATATTAAACAAGATTAAGCCAATCTAGACCTGTCAATAATAACACTAAAGTACTGTAACTTGCACTTATGTAGCCACAAGTTTCTGATGCCAGGGATGCCCTGAAATGATGATCATCATGGTAACACAAAACTGTGCACACACTGTCATTGCTAAAACAGTATATTTCAAAAATTATGTCAATAAATAAACTAATCCTGTTCACAGCGTTTGGCTCTTTTTGAAGAAGGCTCCAGAATAGCATCAGATGACAGTTCGTCATATCTTTTTGTTAGTCCTTCAGCGAGCTTCTTAGCAGCTAAAGTCCCTTTTTCTTTAAGGATTTCAACAAAAATTGAAAAAATAGAAGCTTCAACCCCCACTGAATCTCTTACAAGTTTCAGTAAATCATCCATTCGTTGATACTCGCTTTGTCCAGTATTTCGATCAGTTATACTATTTTTCTCTGATACAGTGATCACCTCCTTCTGAAGCAGTTTCTCTGCAATTTGCGAAAAATCTCGAGCAAAATAGTTTCTAATTTCTTCTGATTTATCTAAAAGAACTTTAGATGCAATTTCTACAAAATAAATTCTAGCACTAATTTTTGTGAATTAAAGAGCAACTTACTTGTGTCAAGAATTTCAGGTAAATGCTGTAGCTCATCATGTTTTTGTTTTCCTGTTAATTATAAATAAAAACTATGCATTGCAATACTTTAATTTTACTTAGCCATTTCCAGCAGTCATTAGGAATATCTTGAGATTCCTCATCAATGGTACAACTCAAAATGTAACGTTGTTGTGGTATAAGCCATATAACTTGAGCTGCATGCCTTCCTTTACCACAGGGACAGTAAAATCCTTGTTTTGGCTTCTCACACATACTAAGTTTATGCTTTGACATTGCTACATCAACTGCTTCTTCTACAGCATCTCTTGCTGGAATATAATCGTTAGCTGATTTGCAATAAAGTGCAATACAGTCAAGTTGCTCCACAAGAATAAGCCTGCCCTCAAGATAGCCTGGTCGGCTTAGGCTGAAAAAGTTAGAAAAGTTTGACTCTTCAACAACCTTCCAGGGAGACTTAGTGTGAGAGAGAAGATGAACAATGACTGCACAAAAGAGACCCATTGGAATAGCACTCTCAAAATACAACAAAAGAGGTGTTGTGCTAGGGTAGGGGTTGATGTTAGACAAATCCCTTATAGGTAGAAGAGCTGGCATGAAGAAAGTATCTTTCTCAAGTAGATCTAGCTGTGCAGCAATCAAAAGGTATTCGAAAAGGCCAAGTAACTTTTTATCAAAATTAGGAAATGCCTGTGATATTTTATTACAACTTTTTGACGCCTTTCTAAGGATTTCAATAGAGAGATGACCTTTACACACGAGTGCTTTTTGATCAGGAAGTAGATATTTTGCATCAGAATGAGCATCATAGACAAACACCAGTAAATCTCTAAGAATGTTAATGAGACTCTCTATATTAACAAAAACAAGATCACATGCAGCAGTTGAATCAGGGTAAAAGAGCAATCTATTAAGAAAACTCAGAAACTTGATAGCACTTAACGATTCTTTAGGCGACAAATTAACTTTTAATTGTTGGCCAAGCTCTTGACAGTAAGATAAGCTCAAAACACCACAACCTTCCTTAGCAACATCATGGAGAAGGACACCAAAGCAATACCACTTCAATGGAACTTTGATTTGATATGCATTATCTTCTAATGCTTGAGCTATCTTATATAGGTCTGAACCTGGCTGTAGATTTTCAAAGGCTTTATCACGAGCTTTGCGTCCATCTACCTCATACAGATATATCCTACCTTCATGTCCCACAATATCACAAGTCTTATGTTGATGAAGAATTTTATTTATTATTTCTCTTTTACCATCAATTGATTCTTTGCCATTTCTTAGTGCTTCTTCATATTTGT